GGTGAAATGTTAAATTCGATTTTTAACAATGTAAAATTATCAATATTTTTGTTATAAATTTTTTTTTATCTAAATATATTTATAGGAAGAAGATTATCATTGAACTGGCTCCTTCTTTTTCCATAATTTTGAAGGCATTGACAGTGAATGCTAGCTATTTCCTGTTTAGTAAGTTACTTGAAATTTAGAAATAGCTTTGATGACTGTCAATTAAAATTTTTGAATGCCAACAATATATGGATAACAGACAGGTGTTAAATGTGTCTGTATTGCTACAGATAAAACTTAGAACTGCCTTAAATCTGTGTTTTTAATAACTGCCTTAAATAGCCATAATTAATTACTTCCTTAAATAGCCATAATACCATAAATATCTGCTTTAAATAGCCATGCTTACAATGATTGTTTGTTTTGTTTTAATTGAAGTCACGGACGCATTATATACCAGCTGTCAGTTGCCTCCAAGAAAACAGTTCAAGTTGCGGTAAATGGATTTGCAGCTTCCCAAATATGTAAGTCAAACTAAGGATATTATTTTTTTTAAACTTTTTCAAGTGTTACAATAAAATTCCGTTGCATTTAATTAAAAACATATCAGACACAATTAAATTTAAAATTGGTTAACGTTCCCAAAATAGACTAGATAAATACTGTTTATCGTGAAAACAGTGGGCTGCGAAGTAGGTTAATATTAGAAAGGATATGAAAAGTTATTTTTGCGAAAATTTTAAATGAATTAAGCAAGAGTGAATAATTGCTGTAGTAATTTTATTTTATTTTATAACCGTCGTTGAACAGCCGACCCAATTTCATGGGTTTACGACTACTTACGTTCAACTCCGTAGCCTTGTAATTTTGAACCAATCCAGAAGACAAGGAAACTCCTGGATCAGTGCCCCCAGAGGTATTGATTTGTTGTGGGAACATGGAGGACTTTGAGACTCGACAGATTTAACGTGCATCAGTCACCATTTACTACACGGGGAGTCTTCGGCCGGCGAGGATCGAACCCACGACCTCTTGGATATGGGCCCAGCGCCCTACCGACCAGGCTATCCCAGCCTTTTGCTGTAGTAATTAAGAATAATGGTATCAATAATAAGCCTCATAACTATTTTACGTGATTGTAAAGTTTTTGAAATACGGCTATTGTCCTTTTTATACGCTGAGAAATAAAGTATAGTCAAAACTACCAAAACATGGTAAAATTTACCTTGTGTCTGGCTCTATGAGATCACCAAAAAGTTCAATAATGTTTATCCAACCTATTTGGAAAGGATTTTGTTAAAATCGACTATAAAATAAGATGGTTTAATAAGAAGTGATCCTGATTTTATTCTGATACTTTAGAGCTTGGCATAAGAGCCATTTATTCGGTTTAATTTACTTTTCAGTTTTGTATTTTTTGCTTAAGTGTGGTAATAAGAACGATAATTTTGATGAGCAGAATTTCTGGTAAACTCTAACCATATGAACGGAAAGATTATTAAATGAATGATTTAAATACCATATATTTTGGTTTTATTAACTAGAATTATGTTTTTGTTTTCAAGAAATGTCAATTTAGTCAAACTTTCATTCTCCAATCAGCCTAATTGCCATCCAATTCAAATCAAAATAAACAAAATTCAATATTTTTAGTGGATTCTATTATTATTCCATCATTACAAAGAAAAACAAAAATTCTATCTCTTAGTTTTTAAACGGTACATATTGATTCTTTTTGAATAATGTGAAGTTATAATAAGTATATTTTGATGTATTTTGTAGATAAATATATCTTATGTTTTGTTTTCTAAACTGCATTTTATTTTTACAAATCAGGCTCATAATCGTTTTAAACATTTCATTGATTTGTGTGACACAGTAAAAAAAAAAAAAGAAACAAAATAGCTATTTTAGAAATTTCCCGATCCAATGAATGCGACCGGTTTTCTTTCTGGTGGTTGAACAATGAGCCAGAATCAGTTATTCTGCGCCAAATATAAACGAAGTCGAATTTCGAGTCAGTTGAAAAAACAAATATTACCGAAGTTCTTTTCCCTTCCCATAAGAAAACCTTGGAATAACCTTTAGACAGTCTTCTTCAATGTTTAAACCTTAATTTATATTGAAATAACTGAATTTTCACTTTCTCAAGTGTTTAAAGGTAAACAGTTTTAAAAGAAACAGTAAAATAGTTTATTTTCTTAATAGTCTTTTTAAAAACTTGATAAAAATTTAGAAGCTAAAACTAATTTTGTTCAAGACAAAATAAAACACTACTTCCAGAAAAACTAAAAATCTATTGGTAAAAAAAATTTATTTTTAATTTTAATCTTATAGCTTTCAATAAAATACGTTATTAATATTTCAAAAGGTTGCAGTTTCCTAAGTGGTAAGAAGTTAAAGAGATAAGTTTAATTTGTTTAATTAGGCAAATATTAATTTAAAAGTTAAATAAGACTTTAAACAATAGGAATTTGAAGAGGTTAGCTGAGAATTATCAATTGCAAATTAGATTAGTGTATTAAAATATTATTTCCTTTAATTATTGTCTTTTTCGATATTATAAATTTTCGAATTAAATCAACTGAAGTGATAATTCCTACAAATGATGCTGTATTAAATAATTTTTGCAACCAAAAAATGTCTTAAAAGATAATAAAATTTTTAGATATTTAATTATGTGTGGATATTTTACTCTATATTATAATTGTCTTTCTTAAATAATAAAAACATTCTGAAAAGAGGGGTTAATTAAATAAACTTTTTAATTATTTATTTTTCTAATTTTATTTTCCTTATTTATTACCCTAATAAATGATGCCAAGTTAAAAAGTTTCACGCAATAAGGTTTTTTTAGACATGTTTTTGCTAATATCTTTTTCTTGTAATATTTTTTTTCAAGTTTCGAAAGAAAATGCAAAAAAAAAAAAAAAAAGAATCATATTAACAAAACGAAGCTATATTGGAAAGTTTACTGTATAATTGAATAAAATATTATTGAATAAAATATTGCATCCAAAATATTTAGACTTTTTTTCTACTTTTTACTATTAAAATTCAGCCGTTTAAGAAAAGAGACAGTTTTTTCCTCATCTTACCCCACCTGACCCTAATGATTCCAAATATAATATCGGTCAAAGTTCTTCACCAAACCCTGTTAGCTGCGAAAACTAGTTCACGAGACAACAAAAACAAAAGATTACCTGATTCTATTCTAGTAGTTAGAAAACCTTAGTAATAACAACGCAATGTCACAAACAATAATGATCAATTTGGTAACAGACATTTATTTTTTGTAACCAAAAAGACTTAGGATGTTCTCTTACTCTTGTTTTAAAAGACTAACTAAAAAAGCGAAAAGATTCCACAATCTTTCCTTTTTTTTTCTTATCCAATCTTCGAAGCAGTTAGCTAAATAACTAATTAACTTATATTGTTAAATAATATAAGTTAATAAGAACTTTTTAAAATGTACATAATGAATTTCCTTTCATACAAGGTGTTCCTTAACCACCACAATAAATATGCATTTTTAAAATCCTTAGCAAAATGAAAATGAAGAAGTGCGTACATTGAGGATCAATATTTAAGGGAGGTAGAAGCAAAAATGCGATCGAAATCTGAGAAGTCATTATACAGAAACGCACTTGTAACAAACAAGATAAGTTTGATTGGTCGTGGAAATAAGGGTGAGGGGAGTAGAAAGAAGTTTATTTGAAACACCTCTAATAAGTTTCGACTTCCTATTTAACTTGTTCTGATGTCTATTACCTGCACTGTGATTTGTCAGGTTTTGATAACGGTTTTCTTTTTTCCTCGTTTAAATATTAATTTGCGACCTCCAATGCGTAGGGTATTTTATTTTCATTTTTGATGATGATTCTAAAAATACATATTAAAGGTGGTGTTTACGGAACAGCATGTATTGTGTGAATTTTTGTAATGAATTAAGGAGATTCACATGGAATATTAATAACTGATTATTGTTTATAAAACAATTACATTGTCAATAATTATAAAAGTCTAACGTCTCATCAACAAGTGTTAGCATGAAAACTATTCTATGGTTCACCATCCACGCATGCTTTCGGAGTCAGAGACCTAATCGTGTGCCATTGTTGACTTGAATACACAGTGCTTTACGACTCCCCTGGACTCCCCAATACAGCTATTGGTTTTTAGGACTGGAAACACGTTCAGAATTGACGAGACTTGTTTCCGATTGTATGGAGTGAATCGACGTGTACGGCCCAGCGAGACAATTTCCTGAATCCATAGACCTACTTATCAACTGGGGATTGTTCAAGTTGATGAAGACTATCAACTTATATATGAACTTATATCAACTTATTCTGAAGACAATCATGTTATAGTGTCTGTGCAGTTGGCGTGATATGAGACCCTTTATACGTATATATACGATTCTTTAGATGACAGGCATGCATGTAAATATCCTATCCGATTGTCTGCATCCATTTATGTCTGTTGTTCAATCTAATGACTTAGACAGCTGACCAAGCGACACCCAACGCAGAGACTTGTAACCAGAAACACTCGTCTGTAGACACTTCCAACTCATCATCTGAATACCCAAAAATGAACGTTATTGAACTTATTTGAGATGCCTTGCAACGTGCTGTTCAGAGAGACTTCACTCTCCCAGCTCACCCTACTATATATTTGTAGATTGCCCTGCAGCATTCATGTCTCCAACTCACATTCGTTGAGCCAGTGCCACATCATCCGAAAGCACTTCTGTGCACTCAAAGAATATATAAGTGAGTGTACTGACGGGTACTGACGGGGACTCATGATATTAAACAAGTGTACGTGTTTTTTTTGGGTGGGGGGGGTTAAGGGTATAATATATAGATATTTATTAAGAAACGCGTATGAAAAAAAAACTAAGAATTTAAGATATTCATATTCCTTTGATGGTACATCCTTTAATAAAATTTTCAAGAAAAGAAAACACAGCTGAAACTTATATTTTATTAATCACTAAACAAATAATAACAAGTGCATCAATAGCAACAAAAAATTATCTGTGTTAAAAATATATACTTAAGCATCTAATGTGCTCGAAAAAGGCGGGCTTTCCTTGAATGTTTTTTTTTAATTTAATGAATCTATGATGAATAAATATAGATACTAAAAAAGTGCATCATTAAAAATTGTGTTAATGCTAAAAGTCAAAAAGAAAAGTGCTGCTATAAAAATTATGAAATATTTTTTAAATTTACTTTCTTTCATCATCCTAGTATTTAGTAAACAGTAACAAGCAGGGCAGTTTTCAATTTATTTAACTCTCTTGTCTTTAAAATCGTAATGAGGCGTATATTATAAAAACCAAATAGATATCAGTGCTTATTCCCAACATCAGGTGACTTTTTAACAAGCATTTATATGCCGTGTGTGCTGAGAAACACTATGTTAATCCATTAAATGCAAAGCGTCTCTTTTTAAGGACGATACTAAAAATGCACAATAATTTCATAGAAATTACATTTCAATGTCAATGCTTTAAAAAATTATTTTTTGTTTAAAAATGGCAGTATCAATTTATTTTTGAATCAGGTGCAATAGTAATTTTCTTGTAAGTTAGCTTAATTAGTTAATTCTCTATATAGGCTCAACACGTAATTTTTTTTGGAATTTCATAAAATATTTTTTGTTACTATTTGCGTTCTTTATTTTCTAGGTAAAAGCCCTCTATAACTATGGAGAAATAATTTTTTTATTTAAAAAGATGCTTTTTACCTTAAATTGATTTTCCCAACAGAAAAAAATTTTTAACTAGAATTTGAAATTTTTGCACAGCGCCTCACAATTTACAGTGAAAAGAAAAAATTTTTCGAGGCAACATTTTTCAAGTTCGGGAGATTTTGATTTTTTTTCTTAAAAAATCACCATTTCAGCAAAATTTGGTATAATAAGAAATCTTATAGTGTCTTCTGTAGCTATTTGTATATGAAATCAAAATAAATTTTATTTTTCATCACAAGTGCCAAAATTTCAAAACTGAAAAATTTGCATGTACTATTAGTTCTGTCGCTTGCTCTTCATAAAGAAAGGTCATATATTGTAGAAATACTGTACGATTGCTATTTTATTTTATATTGCTTTAGAAAAATTGATTTTTATAGATTACAAAGAAATTTGTTTTAGAATTAAGATTTATTTTACTGTCTTGCTGAAAGAAATTTACAAAATATGCTTATTTTTTCCAACACTGGAATAGCTTTACCTATTAAGGGATTAAACAAAAAATCGTTTTGCCCGATATTTTAGCCATTTTCCTAGATAACCCAATAGCATATACTGTTAGATTAAGCAAGTAAAATATCATTGGTAAGATGTGGTTTTGGCATTAATGGACTAAGTATAAATATATTATCTCAGTACTAGTATTTGTGATGTTGACCATGAATTAAAAATTCTTCTAAAGAGGGTTAAGTAATTATCAAATAATCTCTTATTCATCAAAGGAGAGACTGGCAGTGCGCTTTTATATTGTTGAAAATAATTGTATGTCGTATAAAATATTTCTATTTGGAAAATTTCCAAATGCCTCTATAATAAGATATTCTGACCTATAGAGTAGTATAAAATATTTGGAACAATCAACCATTTTGTGAAAAAAAGTTTTTCAGAAAATTCAGATTAAAAAGCTTGGTTTTAGAAATGGTTGGCATGATATTTTCTTTTTCTATATCTTTCTTGGTCCCTTTGACAAATATTTATGATTTTCTAAACAACAGTTGGATATCCCTTGTAACATATATTGTATGAATCATCAGACAACTCAGCCAGATGACCATGAATACTGCAGTCGCTGGATTGGGATACGTATTGCGAACTTCTTACTAAAGTGTTTGGACTGTGTTCCAGTTGACGAAGTTGCATTGCTAAAGCTTCTCTTTCATTACGCTGTCTTCTTTTACGATATATATAGTAAAATGTACATGCAATGGCTAATAAAAAAGCTATGATTCCACCACAACCTGCAACTAAGTGTAGATGGCCTGCAAAATAAAATACAAAATATAAAATTCAATGCAGAAAAAAAAATTTTTTACTTTTAAGTTTTGGTAGCAGAATTTCTCGGTAACTGCAAAACTACACTGTAAAAATTCCAGAAGAAATTATGGCATAAAGTATCGGCATGCAGGGTGCCGGTATTTTTTACCGTAAAATTCATTTTTATCGGAACATGTTACGGTATAAAAAATTCTTAGACTGTAATTTTTACAATAATAATTCACGTAAAATCACGGAATCAGTGTAATTAAATAAATGATACTTACACATTATACAGTTTAATAATTATATAGTTTAATACTTTTTGGTAAAAATAAATGTTACAGTAAAATGAGTTTTACGGATGATGCTCACGAAGTGCAAGTACTTTTTTACCGTAATTTGAGCTGGAATTTTTTTCAGTATATCTTCACAAATCCAAATTTGTCTGCAACCTCGACGCAGTCTGACCGAGATTATTATTGTAAAAATTCAGCTTAATCTAACATATATATGATTCACAATGTGCAATTATGCATAAAAATATCATATTGTTTAAATTTAAGTTGAATTTTATACAACTATACTAAAAAAATGGAATAAATTCCTGTAAAAACCCTGTAATCACGTATAAGAGAGAGAAGAAAAATTCTTTATTTCTTGCTCTTGGCGGTGTAATTCTATCTATTCAACTTTTTGATTTCAACTAGAAACAAATTGAGAGATATTTTTAAAGGGAGTTTTAGAAATTCCTCCACATTTGTTTGTTTGTTTTTAAAAGATAACATTTAGATGAAAAATAATCTGTAAATACTGTAATAATCTGCAGCGCCCTCTGCCGTAGAGGGTTTCTGATACCATGCCTATAAGTTTTGTAAATGCCGCTATTACCTGTTGCTAACGTAGAGTTAGCAAAAGAGAATGAGAGAAAAGAATTTGCCTAAATAACTGTTAATGAAATGATTGAATTCTAACGAACTATTTAATTTTTTGTGGTTCGAGCAACGCACTTTACCTTATTAGTGCCCACGATAACAATTTCATTGACGGTTTTGAAAAGACAACATTAGAGAGGAGGATTTCTTCTTTTGAAGCATGTATGAGATAATTTTATCTATATTGTATTTCATGTATGAGTTAAATTAAGTCTACATTTCTTTAATTATCAGCTTTGATACAGTACAATGAAAAGTTCAGTAGTCCAGTCTGGAAGAGTATTAAAAGAGTTTTTGGTGAAAAGCACCGCAATATACGCGCAGGTAATATAACCGTCATGTTTTTGTGTATTGTGCTATTGTTGAGTGTGATTTCTATAGATTTGAAAAATATGTATCTGGAAACAGTATTAAGGAACAGTTTGACGTAAGAATGTTACGTTCCTAAAAGAGAGGCGTAACTAAATATTATCCCAAACCCGTTCATTTTATCAATGACATAACGTTACAAACGTTGCATGCTCGTAATAAAGCCTTTTTTATCTCCCTAGCGCGAAAATAGTTCATCAAAATGGTGAGAAAAAAGGTTTAGTTTGTAAAACATTTATTAACTGATTAATTCTCATTCAAAAAAATATTTTAGTAAACACAATTGTAGGAACATTTTTTTCCTTTCAATCTCACAAAATTCAAAAATTCATTTAATTTTGATATTTTGCATTTGATCTTCAAAATTTACGGATGTATCGATTTTCTCAATTAAAGTAAAAAAAATAAAACGTATAGAAAGTTTTTTAGATCATTTAACGACACTTATTATCAATACTGGAACATTATTAAAACTGCAACTTGGGCAATAATGGATTAAATATGCAAATTACTGCAGACGATTAACTCAAGTTAATGTGGAAATGATTAATTATGAAATATTAAAACTTATTTTTTTTCTTCATATTTATAGTCTCAAAAAACTTCAAAAGTGATCGAAAAAGCTTCAAAACTACATTTTTAAAGTTAGCCGGGTTCAAATCTTCACAGATTGATTTTATATTTAAATTGTATGTTCAAAATTACATTATTTACAGAATTACATAGGATGTTTTCGTTTTATAACATAGTTTTTTTTTAAGCGTAGTTCCTGGAGATTTTGTTTGGGAATTTTGATTCTTTTTTCTAAATACGCTCTTTTTCATAAAATTGGTTTGACCAAAAAATTTCTATTTACCTCTGTAGGTATAAGCATATATAATTGAGGAATAGTTTTGATTTTCACTAAAACTTAAGAATTACAGCTCTTTCGTGAAAGAAAGGCTCCATCGAAAAAAAGCCATACACCCACCATTTTTTTTTAATCACTTAGAAAACATTAACTTTTACAGTTAATTATTCGTATAAGAAAGAACCTTTTTCAGAATTTTGACTTATTGCTTTGTCCTGTTGAAAAAACCCCTCCAAATATGCCTATTTTACCCCCACACGAGAGAATTAACCTCATAAAGAATAAATTTAAATTATATGACCACGTATATATATNATATATATATATATATAAAACTTACATCTTTCTTCATCACTATAGTCGTCTTCACTGCAATTTGGTAGACCGTCACACACTAGGGACTGATCGATACAATACTGAGGCATCACATTACAAATTGTAGTTGCTGAATTTAAGCAATAATGGCTATCTCGGCAGATGTGCTGCTCACATTTCTCTGTATCATAAAAGAAAAATATTTGTTATCGTTTAAGAAAATTTAATTATGATTTTTGTCAGAAAATATAGAATCCTAATACTTATAGCAATATCAAACAAAACATTCAGAACAATAATTAGTAAAACTACGCAGTAAAATATTTCGGTGTATGGTTGCTGCTATTTTTGGTGTTTAGTAAAACTAAAATTTTTTATTGTGCATGCAGTCACATTTTTTTTATTTTCTCTGTTAGAGTTTTATTTATTCATTTGTTTGTTTGTTTGTTTGTTTGATTGCTGTCATCAAATATTTTCAGTCCCATTCAAATCAGTTAAATGACTTCATAGCAAAAACATTTCATTTAAAAAATAATCATACTTTTTGTAACATAATCGCACTAATTCTTACAAAAAATTATTATTTTGTCAATTTTATATAATTTTTGCACGATAATTACAGTTTTGTGCTTAAAAATGTGTTTAGTTTACCTCAGCACCAAAAAATGGTAGCAACTATACATCAAAATTTTTTATTGTATACTTAAAATTAATTCAACGAAAAAAGATTGCAGGATAGCAAAAAGTATTTACTTTTTTAGAGATTTAATAAAACTTATTTCATGTTGTTGAAGCTTTTATTGCATTTTCATAAATGAGTTTCAATATATTTTATGACAACTTAATACAATAATAGTACTTAACTTAAAATGTTTCTTATAAATGACTTATTAAAGATAATAATTAACTTAATTACCTTATAAACAAACTATTTTCTTAGAATCTAGAAACAGCAAAATATTACACTAAAAATCTATCTAAAAATAGTCAGGAAATTAATTCTGTAACAAAGGTTTGAAAATTTATCTCAATGTAAAGATTCTAAACTATAAGTATAAAATAGAATAATATTATATTATTAAGATATGCAACTGGCTTTGATATATTAAAAATATTTCGAATCAGCATTCTTGTACAAATTTAATAAAAATAAAATTTTAACAAGTCGCATCTAAGAAGTCCCAATTGCCTTACTTTTTCATAGAGATAATTTTAATAATAATTCCTTCTTAAATCTACACCCTCTAGCAGCAGCAGTTGAAAGTTTTACTTTGAGACAGTTCCGATTTTTTAAAGTTATGTCAGAAATTAAGTCCTTTGTACAAATCATAAGCGGCACGAAACGCACGAAAGAGTTACACGAAAAATAATTAAAAAACATTCCTTTTATATTAAAAGTTTCAAATTTTGTTACAACAAATAAGAATGATGTTATGTCTTGAAATATTATTAAACTATGAAATTGAATGTAGTATGAGAAGAAAATCATGCAGCGAAAAATGTATCATAATATGCAATTGCTCTAAATAGTTAAAGCCTAATCTATAAATAAAGATATAATCTACAGAAATTATTATTTAATGAAAATTTTACTTACCAAGAAATTCAAAGCTAACAGCCGTCCAAATTAATTTAAACCCCATGACTTTTTCAAAGTTTCCTTTTTGATCAGATGATACTTTTGTTTTAAATCTGTAAGATAAAAAAAGTTAATTATGGATCTAAAGCTGAAACATTTTCTTTTGAAAAAGAAAGAAATGTGTATGACGTGGTGCGAAAAAATCTCATTGGGTTTATTTGAATGATTTATACGAATAGTGTGCAAAGAAGAAATAGAACAACCTGAGTAACTTTTAATCTAATGATTGGATTTTCACTGAGACTCAATCTTAATGAATCGAAATCTGTTTGTGGCTTATTTCTCAGATTCCTTGTTTTTACTTGTTTTCTTTCATAATTTATTGTCGGTCTCCCAAACCTCTGAAAGCTTTAAATCTTATTGCTAAGTAATGAAAAATCGTATGAACTGACCATTTCTAAAGCTATAAAATGAAACTTTAAATACTTCTTGAGAAATTTTAGAAAATATCAAAAACCGGAATGGAAGTGTATCTTCCATTATTGTAGGGTAGTGTACCTTTTTACCTTATCAAATTATTGGGAATCTGGAAAACATGCTCTTAATAGTTTGGTCAGAGATCGATAAAAAATTTGGCCCCATAAATGTTAATTTTACTTTCTGCGTTTTTCTCCCTATCTCGGGAACTTTTTGTGAATCAAAACATTTTTGCATCCATTTATAAAATTCGTTTATCCGAAGATACTTTCATGGAAGAAATAATTACTTATTATTTTATTCAATGATAATAAGAACACTGAATTATAAAGCAAGCAAAGTTCCACACAATTTTAAATATTGCTGTTTATATGGTAAAATATAAAATTTGAAAGAAATCGGTTAAATAGTTTCTGAGTAATAAAATTTTTTAAAAAGTCGTATATTTAAATTTTGATTACTCGAGATTTAATATTTTGCGCACTGTGCATACAAGACTAAGAAGAAGTTAAAGCACATAGAAGAGGCTTCTAATAACAACGCGTAAAAAGTCATGTCATGAAATTTATTTAAAGTTTCTCATTATTTATTTCTCGTAAAAAACATTGGCTACTGTTTTGATAAGTCGAATACACATATCTTGACTGTATAGTCCCTTAGAAAACGATGCCACCCCAATGCTTGCTTGAGCTCATCGAATTGGAAGATACAAGGGACAGATCGAATCTGGATTATGAAGGGGATAACTCAAGAGTTCCTCCTTGAATTTCAGCTGAAGTTTTTGACTGTGTCAGTGGTTAGCACTGCCGTGAAAAAGAAAGACCTTGCGAAAAAATTCATCTGGAAGTTTGAATTTAATTACCATTATGAATTTTTTTTTAGCGTTTCCCCAAACCTCTGAACACTGACTCAAATTCCATAGCTCCTGGAAAGCAACAAAGAGTGACATCCTGCGATTGTTCCCTCCACTAAACGCTGCTTTCAGAAACTGAATAAATGCCTTGACAGCTGTCTCATAGCGGACTGATAGCAAGACACGGTTTCCAGGACAACACCGAAATCATGCATTACTGCCAGTGAGTGGATGGGTGACCACTTTGATCAGCCTGCAAAGGGACTAAAGGTGCATGGTATCGGTCAGTTCCACAGTAAAGTGTTCGACTTCACGCACAGGACGTTGGGCTACTAAAGCGCGGGAGCCACCTTTTAGCAAAGTTTCAAAACTGTGATGCCCATGTCTTTGGATTATCCTCAGTGATGCTCCCGAGACCCTCGACAATAGCCTATTGTGGCGTAAATAAAATACTACCATTTAAACTCCATAGTTCCCAAAAATCAACAAAGAGTGACAATTCTCTATTGTTTCTACATTTATGCGTCGTTTTCAGAAACAGAATAATTTTTTAACAGCTATCCGGTTGCTATTTTTTCATCGTTGTTTTCCGCCTAGAGAGTAAAAAACACGATTTTTTTAAACACACCAGCAATCACGTTTCGGGTCTGTTTCCATTTTTTTTTAAATAACATAGTTTCTGTTTACTTAGGTACTGCCTCACTATTTATTGAGAGAATCCAATATAATGATTGTATAAGCTACTGCACCGTTTAAATTATTGTATGAGAATATCCAACATATACCCGAAGCCTAACATGCTCAATAACGTGCCTAAATTATTCGCCACATAAGGTATGAGTAGCATTTATGTCGTCAAACATCATTAATGTTTCTCGAACCACATCACAAAATATTCTAAACCTCTGTTTCGGAATTTCAAACTTCCATTAATTTCAAACATGTCTACAGACTTTAAACTACTGTGACTTTAGAGGGAATCACTAATTCCACGAAATCAAAATGAATCAAATTGTTATAATCTTTCTCCACTGAATTATTATTGATCGAAGATTTTCCACAATTCCTATTGTCGACAAAGTGAAATGGTTAGATATCAGCAGATAATTAATTTGAAGTTCGTTCGATAAAGATGGTGCTTATTAATATGCTCAAGATATTACCAAATTGGGCTAGATTTATATTTCATTTCTCTCCAATTCTCTACCAAAATAAAAAAAATAAAAATAGCAACTTGGCTTCGAAAATTCTTCTAGAATTTTTGACTGTATTTAAAAGAAGGTTTTTTAATTGTAAATTTAAATACTTCCAAAGGATATCAATTAAATAATGTAAATACTAATCAATTTTTGAACTTGATTCAGTGAAGATATAGTGATAAAAAAATAAAAACATTGGAACATTATAGTAATGCTCAATTAATTTAAACCATTAAGAGTCCGTAATTTCATAATTGAACTCATAATTGAACAAAAACTATAATCGAACTCAAAATTAATAATTGAGCATAATTTAGTTCAATAATAATTTTATAATGGGGTAAATATGTGCTAAAACTGAAGGAAGACTGTATTGATAATACACCTATTTCATAATATTTCGACATTTTAACTTTTAACGCTGATACTTTTCAGAATATACATTCACAGAAAGTGTTTAAAGACATTGAAGTGGACTTAATGAAAAAATGGTATCTATTCAGAAAAAGATTCTGCAGAGTTATGAGCTGGGTTCAAAAACACCTTAACTGCAGAGATAGGTTAAATCATGAAAACTCCCTCCTTTGCTTGTAGAGGTTTTGAGCCATTTTAGTAAAAATAGCTGTCAGGATCCTGATTCCTCTCCCACGCATTTGATTGACCCCTTGACCTGAGGGTCAGAGGGTGAAGGACACTGGAGGTGTCGTCCCCTACATTGGGGGTGGAGCAAAGGACTGTTGCTTATGGGAAAGAGGATTTTTTTAGAGGAGAGATTAGCTTTGAACGCAGAAGAGTTGAGTTTCGAGTTGAACTATGCTAGAGAAAGAATGAGAGAGAAGGGAGCAGCAGCGCTCCGGAATATTATATTCTCAAATTCATGTATCATTTTGTAAATAATTCTATAATCAAGAATTTAGTAATAAATAAGCTAAAATTGAAATAATCCTTAGTCATCCTTATTGAGGAGTCTTTAAAAACGAACCAAGAGACAAAAGGTCTCACAATAGCATATGAGAACAAATTCCTTGTTAAAGTTAGAATGAAACTTCTGAACTAAAATTCTATGGCAATCTAAATATGAGATCTAGTTGCGTGTTTGTTTCTAGTTAATTTGAAAAAAGTTTACATTGAGAGCGAAAGTTGACAATGCGAAAAAATTTACATTGCAAATTATTTACATTCCGAAATGAATGTACTACGTATAATCCAATCAAAGTAGGAAAATAAAATTAAACAAAAATTAAGAACAAATTCAATTTAAAAACAATAAGATACGTGTACACGCGTAAGATTATTACACATACGTTTAAACAATATATATCTTGATTTAAAAAAAAATTATTTATAGTTTTGTTCTCATGCATTTCTTTTTGCAGTGTTAAGCAAATTACATTCCGAAAAAATATTAATGAGATATTTATAACAACGGGTCTCCGCTGCCGTATAAACGATTTTTTATTTAAAAAACTTAAAGAAAGCTTTGGTTCTATTTTCTGTTGGTAGCCTGAATTCCTTGTAAAGAGATTTACAGAAAAAGTAAAATTAAATAAAGAATATTATATCAAAGAAAATATGGAAGTAAGAAATAAAAAAGAAAAGTAGAATTATAATCTTTTCTTGAGCCAAAAGATAATAGATCAAAAATATCATGAACGTCAATAAAAATAAAATAAATTAGTTCAAAAGAGGAAAGAAATATGATATTTCTTTCAAAAGAAAGTTAAGAAACAAGCAAAAGTAATTTTGAAAATTAGAAAGTGATCCGGGAGGAAAGTTTTGAATTTTCAAAGGATTATTAAAAACTAACTTTTCTGAAGAGTTATTAAAATACTTTTTACTGACTTTTCAATAAACGAAATATTATCAGAAAAATATAAATTAAGCCTGAGTGAGTTTAATTCCAAAAATGCTTATTCATATAAATGAAAAAAAAAGTAAATCAATGACACTTTATTTAGCAAAACAAAACAAACACACGCTGATTTAAACGCCAACAATCAAATTGAAAATTCTCAGAGTTAAGAACCAAATTATCGTTTATACTTATTTAGTTAATAAAACCTTTAGATCTTAAAAAAATTATGTATGGAAATGCATAATTAATGCATAAGATGCAGAAATTGCAAAATTTTTATGTTTGCATGATAACTTTTATTTTTTAAAATATTATTAGAATTAATTTATCCCCGATTATATCAGATAAACAGAACTTAAATAGATACGAAAATTATTTTCGTATCTATTTAATAATAAATGCAATGATTTACATAAGATTATAAAAATCACTATTTCAGAAAAGGGAGGGAATGATATCAGTTGATATTATCAAGAGCAGAAAAGCATTTTTGTTCGTTTATGTTACGATTTTAAATATTTTTAAAAAATATTGTGTTGCAAAAAGGACAAACTTTCATTTTTATCACAGCTTGGAGAGTCTTAATATATGGAATTGAAAATGAGATGCAAGGGGGGGGGGCACAAATAGGCTGGTGAATTTATAGTACTTGAAATTTTAATTTCAAAATAATAAAATTGGTTTTGTAAATGATTAATTGTAAGGAATTTGGTCAACAGATTAATAGCATTTTATTTTAAGTTTGAGCATTTTACTTTAAGCTTAACATACTTTTGTAGCTTGGGTTAATCAATTTGCTGAAGCGAAATACTTGCTTTTTTTAAAAACGGTTTCACACAGCGAAAAAAATTCTGATAAAATTACAGTACAATATGATAACAACATTTCTGGTAAAAAAAAACGTAATTCTGGTTAATAAAACAAAATTATACGGTATTTAAACCATCAATTTGGTAATTTTGTTTATTCGTATGGTAACTCTGGCTCCGGAAATTCTGGTTTTTAAAATTATAGCTCTTTTTACCATGTATTTAGCAAAAAATATAAAATTGAAAAATAAACATTATTATGCTGTTGTGTCTTTTTTTCGTGTCTGCATTTTAAGTTCTTAGATTTATTTATTTGATTAAAACAATTGAATAAATGCTTAATTGTTTAATTTAAAAAAAGAACAATTCTATACGTGACTTATGTTAAGAAGTAGAAAATCTGTATTTTAATTTAGACACGGAAGAATTAATAATGCAATAAAATATAAATCATATTATTATTTATTTATTTATTATTTTTTTTAATTATTTCTACTTAATGCATTTTATTTCCACAAACTAGCTATGCATTCTCTGTGCATTAATAAAAACATTCATGGCTCTCATTACAGCGAAGTAAAGTAGAAACTAATGTAATATTCCTTTAAATATGCATCATTAAGTACACGGAGAAAAGAATTCTGGTGAAATTACAGTACTGTACAGAAATGGTACTTCTGGTAAAAAAAAAAAAATTCTGGTTAATAAAACCAAGATATACGGTATTTAAACTATTTACTTGGTAGTTTATTCGTTCATATTGAAACAGTTTACCGGAAATTCTGGTTTTAAGAATTGTAATTCTTATTACCACACATTTAGTAACAAACACAAAAACTGAAAGTAAATTTAACAAAATAAACGGCTTTTATGCCATGCTCTAAGTTATTATGATAAAATTACTAAATTTTACCATATTTACCAAATTTTATAAAACATCATAAAATCATATTTTACAGTTAATTTTACCATAATCAATATAATATAATAGTTAATTTTACCAGTTAATTTTACCATAGCGTTTCGGTAAAAACTACTGAGCATGTTGGTACTCCCATAGAGCCGGAAACACGGTAAATTTTACCTTATTCTGGTAGTTTTGACCATACTTCTTTTGCCAGTAACACCTTTACCTCGTATTTTTTGGTAAAGAAATTTCAATTTCATTTTTATTTATGTTGCCATTCAAATATAAAGTTGCCTTGCTATTGAAAATTAATTGAATCAGGAAATAGTCATCCATGCTTATACGCTCAAACGTATTTTTATGTCTGGTCTATGAGCATCAGTAATTGATCAATTTACATTTCGTAGAATCAATATATCAAGCCTATGTATCATGCACCTTGTTTCAACAAATTGAATGGTACCAAACTATTATGGCTAACTAGAGATTTTAAACTGTTTTATGTATCTTAGTATAATTAACGATGAAATTATGCTATAAATAGGTTAAACAAAGTTCTGACAAAACAAAAACATAACAAATGCAACAAAATTTAGAATATTCAATACTAATGTTAAATCTGTCCTACTCTAAAGATTTGAGACATGGCACTAAAATGAAAATAACGTGAAAAAATTCAAGTATTTTTTACAAACAGTTTAAGAAGAATCATACGTTTCAAATGGTTCTATGAAATTTGAAAAGCAAAAATCCTTAGAAAAGCAAAACAGAAACCAATTGAACTCGAAACTTAAAAACGTAAACGGAAATGGATTGGTTATGTTCGACGTAAATCTGAAATATTTGAAGTAAAACAAGTTTTTGATTCGAACCCTCAGGGCAACTGAGAAGAGGAAAACCTAAAAATACTTGGTGAGGGTGAATTGAATTATAAGTGAATCGAAAACTATAGAAAGATATGGAGAGAGGTAAAATATCTGGCTCCAAATAGAGTGAGATGGAGAGTTACGATAGAAGCTCTATATTCCAATTTGGAGTGAAGAGGTATAATGTGTCTTACAATGATGCGTCAAGTTGGCTCAGGGAATAGAGCACTTGCCTCTCAATGAGGTGACCCGGGTTCGAATTTTGGTCCCGAGATTGCTTGTTAATATGAATTCCAGACCCGGATTGCACTGACCACAGTGCTGACATAAAATATCCTCAATGGTAGGCAGATCATGAGTTAGAATTACTTTGCCAATAGAACAATAGAAACAATATTGCTAACCGCGGTTTTCGTGGTTTTCCTCTACATTTTGCTCAAATCCGGGTAAGTTCCATCAAAAAAGTCCTCCAAGAAGGCAATTTCTCCCAATACTTGATCCAAAAGTTCCCTTGTCTTCTGGATTCGGTTCAAAATTACAAGGCTCTGAAGTTGAGCATTGGTAGTCGTAAACTCAATATTGGGTCGGTGGTTCAACGACGGTTATAAAATAAAATAAAATAAAATAGTGCGTTAAAAAAATTTAGATAAGATAATATTTATCTGCGTTCAATTGAAACCTCATGATTAATATCCCTCAAATTATGTAGTAACTTATTTATGACTACGTTGTTTAAAATATTGGCTAAAGGAGCAAAAGTGCGTTATAAAAGTTAAGACAATTTTTTAAAAAAATTATTAAAAGTGAAATATTACCTTATTAAAAGTCTATTACGCTTGGACATTTGAGTTCGCTCTTCAACATTTTTGTAATATTTTAGATCTCCACAAAATTTCTTCATTATTTCGGGATTAACAGTAAAACTAGAATATCCATCATAGATAGAAAGCTCAGCATCAGCACAGTTAGCTAAGTAAAGAAATGCAGAAACATAATGAGGTACTTTTAAGTACATATACGTGAATGTTATGAAGCAGTTTTCTCTTACCTATACTTCCATATAACTGAAGTTCCAATATACGGATATATATGTGCTTATTATAATCTACTCGAATCAACCAAACGCAGTCTACGTCTTTAGGAAAAGAATGCGGATAGCCAGGAGAAACTATAGTACCCCCAACTCCAGTTTCTGTTCCACCGCAACCTTTTATAGATGGAGTGCTTTCTGGAGGTGGTATGTATTCTAAAAAAATAATAATTTCATAATTAAAAGTAATTAGGAAACAATTTTTCTTTTAACGCGAATAGCAATGCTAAATTCAATTATTAGCTAAAAAATTACTGATTTTTAACTACACTTTTTCTGAACATTCGAGAATATTTAAGTGGACGAGATGCATTAAAAAACACGCATTAAGCACATTTCGTAAGATTTTAATAAAAATAAATTCAAACTCGCAACATTACAGATTTTTCTTACATAAATTACAAAGAAGAAGTGCTTGATTAACTGTAAAGATTAATTATATAGTATCAGCAACAGAATTCCTTTTTAAAAATCGAAATAGGAAAACGACCTTCTTTATATACATAATAAAAGTATATAATGAATTCTATTTCCACCCTTTATAGGAAAGCTATAGGAAGCATACTTCCTATCAACATCATTAATTTTTAAATATCGATAAGAAGCTATTTCCCGCCTGTGTGACTTGTGCGGCAATCTCATAATATTTTCAGAAATACAAAATAAATAAAATAAATAGTAAGTGTAAGGGTTGACGGGGTCAAGATGAAATATTAGCATAGCGAAGTTATTTTTGTGTGCGTGCGTGTAGCGCTCTTAAATTTCAAAATTTTTCATCTAGTTTATTTGTAGTTATCAAAACAAAATTTATAAATTCGGCAATTCATAAGTGCAGAGATTTAAGTTAATTGCCAGTTTTTTAAGTAGTGAAATTTTAAAAATCCCATCAGAACAATGGTCTTAATCATATAAATTTGAGATAATTGGCTAAATGAATTTCTTTTTTTAAATCAATCTTAATACCATAAATGTTTTAACTTAGCATAACTAGAAAAAATTGCCATTTAAAGCTTTTTCTTAGCATTTTTTAAATTTGAGAGATTATTACATTTTTAAATTTTGATTTTGATTTTTAAAAATTTGAAATTTTTTATATAATTTTTTAGTTTTAAATTTCATAATTTTTCGCAGTTTTGATATGAGTAAATGAGATGGCAAAATCGTATCTTAAAATTCGTATTGATTTATCGTAAAATATTATTACTCGAAGATTTTTTTAAAAAAAGTATATAAGTTTAAATTGCAAGAAAAAAGAAAAGGAAGATGTTCCCGTCTTATTTTTTTAAGATATTTTATCGCATTTTACAAGTTGTATGGACATGATAGTTTAATTATTGATTGATCATGATGTTTTAATCGATATTTATCTACTTGCATCCATAAAATTGTATAAACATATAATGTTTCAAAAACACTATATATTTAAAATCATGTTACTTGAAACATTAAAACATCAAAGTAAATAATCATATTATTTTTTTAAACGCGATAAAACTCACAAACTCAATAAAACATATTGGTGATTTTAGATATAAAAAATGCTTAATTGAAGAGTCATATAGTCCGAAGAAATATAATACTTTATTAAAAAAACGAAGCAGAACATACTAGTTGATAAAAGTTTTTATATAATTAATTATTCAATAACCCTACTTGGATTTAATCGTGTAGCATTAATTCAACCTAACAAAAATAAAGCTTACAGAATTATAAAACGAGCTCCAGGAAAATTAATGGAATTGAAGCCATTAACTACACATAAATTTAACGTATTTTAATTCTATGACCTTTTCCTTTTATAATCAGGCAAATTTAGTTTTTTGAAACAAACAATAAATCACTACTTTAAATTATTTTGAAGAAAAAAAAAATAAATGGGTAAAAGCGTTTTCATATTCCTGGTCAAAATAACTACAACTGATTTATTTACTAGAATTGTTTAAAAAAATATAATTCCTGAAGTTTTAAATGCAATTTTATGCAGTAAAAAATTTGTGTGTAATTGATGTAGAGGTTTACTTAAAGATGAGAAAGAGAAGACAAAAAGAAAACTGATAAATAATCTTGAAATGCTGGTAAAGCAAAAGGGAAGAATAATTTTTCTTTCCAGATATTATTTTTCGTTAATCTAATGCTTTTCTGAAACAGAATATTACCCATCATTCCTTATAAATGTCTTTATTCACAACTGAAATTACAGTAGTTGAATTGCCAAACTTTATACATGGAGGCCAAATAGATTTACATTATTCATAAGTTTTGTTTGCTTGAAATTTTTACATTTAAAAGTAATAAAATGATAATTTCTTTTAATTCGGACTTTTGTATAAGTTATCTTTATTTTAAAAGCAATGTTTACTAATTTAAATTATTAAAATTTCAGAATATGATACTTTTTAAAACATTTCGATTCGAAAGTTTGAGTAATGTGCCAAGCTTAACTTCCTTAATATTTCAAAAAGCTTAATCATTTTTTAGAACACGAATGTATGACCAATAGTTCAAAATTTTTCAATGGCATTTGGCTATTATGAGCCATTGCACAGAGCGAAAAATAAAAAAAAATGAACACTTTAAATAACTTTTGATTTATTGTTCGGATTTTCATGTGGTAGGACTTAATCTTATAGGTTCAAAGGTTTAACCTTAAATACACTAGTTACACTAGTAGTGCACTAGTTGTACACTAGTAGTGCACTAAATACACTAGTTGTGCAGATGGAATCAGACACAAAAAAAATCACTTCTCTGAATTAGCATGCCTTCAAGAAATGAGGAATAACTGCAATCTGGAAAATATGGTCCCAATAGTTTAAGTAGGAGAGGTCTTAATTTGAAATAGTGTCAGTTCTAATTAATTAGCAAACTTTAAGTTTAGCCTCGAATTATTAAGATTAGGTTTTAGCACATGAACATCTGATCATTGGATCAAAAGTTATTGAGGTTGTTTTACTTTGTTTTTTATATTGGCATTAAATTTTACTGCACTGTATACAAGAAACTTAGATGCTGGCTTTTTGTTTTAAACCCTTCTGCAAGTCACACAAAAATGAAATAAATATAATATATATTCTCAATAGGGGTCTCAATATGATATCTAGGTGAGATAAATACAAACACAATCAAAACTTAACTCAACCTTCAGGAAAAAAGCGAGAGAAATTATTATATTCTGTTCTACCGCAAGAGAAAAGGTGGAGTCGGTTATATGAAACGCCCCCAAGCTTCATCAGATTATTAAACTACACTGAAAAAAAAGTTTCTCAAAATTGATCAAAAATGTGTCGGAAGCGCTCGAAAATTGATTAAATTGATAAAATTGAAACAATATTGAACAATATACACAGTTTTGAGCAAAAACTACAGTTTCAAAAGTGAGGTGGAGGGAGAAATATATGAGACAGATGTTCGTAAGTTAATCACATTTAAATATTAATCGCCCCCTTGAAATATTTCCTCATTGTCACTAACTTATTTTTTAGAAATAATTAATTTTAAGTTTTCTCTGCTTCTACTGAATAAAAACAGTTGAAACTTAAGATTTTTCAATAGAAGAACATGCAGATTAATATGGTATGAAAACTTTATACTTCATAATTCAAAACTTTTTCATCCGCAATTAAATATAAATAATTAAAAATAATAAATATATATTAAAAAGTATTTTTCGCATGAAATCATTTTTGAGTAAATGGGTTTAATGAGTAGGTACAGTTTTTTTAATTGATTTCTGTGCCCGATTTCGTAACCTAACTAATAGTTAGCACTGAATAACTAATATATTTGATTTTATCTTCAGGATCCATTAAGATTGACACTTAGAGCGTGAAAATCCGATAATTAGAACGAAAGTTATTCAGGGTTATATCTTTTGTTTTGCGCACTGTACAACCATAGTGGTACGGCGATCCTGGATGTCATTGGTTCCAATCCTGCCGGCAGCCAACGAACTCTCTCACACATTTCTCCTTTCACATCTCTTTTGTGACTACACATTTTGCTCAAGAATAAGTACACTATCTAGCCATTAATGACCGGACACCCCTTGAACGGCAGATGGACTCGTCCTGGCGAAATAAATACGGAACCTGTGGTGGGGGAAGGACCATTCGCAAGCAGGCAACGACCATACGAGCGTTAACTGAGAAAATGAGTGGACGGCGAGAGCTGAATGAGGCGGAAAGGGGCATGATCATAGACGCCCACCGATTTGGTCCTTCCATACGTGCCATCTCCGACAAATTTCAGATACCACGGTCAACAGTTGGTGACGTCGTGTTGAAATGGGAACGAGAGGGAGTGATAAAACCGCAGTCCCGACCCGGCAAGCCCAAAATAATGTCCGACAGGGATCGACGATCTCTTCGACGTGTAGTGAAGGCAAACCGACAAATGTCGTTGGACACTGTCGCTACCAACTTCCGGGCTGCATCTGGCAGTGTTGCCAGTGCACGTACCATTCGTCGGGAGCTGATTGCACAAGGATTCCATGGACGAGCAGCAGCACATAAGCCAAACATCTCTCCATCAAACGCCCGCCACCGATTTCAGTGGTGCAGAGCACGTCGCCAGTGGACAGTAGAGCAATGGAAAAGCGTTATGTGGAGTGATGAGTCACGCTACATGTTGTGGCACTCTGATGGACGGGTGTGGACCTGGCGAATGCCCGGAGAACGGTACCTACCGGAGTGCATTGTCCCCACTGTGAAGTTCGGCGGTGGAGGAATTATGGTGTGGTCCTGTTTCTCATGGTTTGGCCTTGGACCCTTGGTGTTAGTGCGTGGAACCCTGAACGCAGAAGGGTATAGAGACATCCTGGACAATTCGGCGCTTCCCACCCTGTGGCAACAGTTCGGTAATGGCCCGTTTGTGTTTCAACACGATAACGCTGCCATTCATAAAGCACATGCCATCACGGACTGGTTTGATGAAATGGGGGTGCAAGAGCTTGACTGGCCATCCCAAAGTCCCGACATCAATCCAATTGAGCATCTCTCGGATGAGTTGGAGCGCCGGTTGAGGGCCAGACCATAACACCCCAAAACCACCACTCAACTCTTCGCCATGTTACAGGAGGAATGGCGGGCAATACCTGCCGACGTGTATCAACACCTAGTGGATAGCCTTCCTAGAAAAAAGCTGTGATTCGGGCGCGT